GGACTCAGAGTCCGGTGGCACCTCGCGTTTTTGGACGAAGGCGGTTCTCTGACCCGCGAAGGGACGAGACAGGCCATAGAGTCCATCACCGTGAAGGAGATTATCTCCAAGGTGGATCTTAGTAGGGATGGGGTTCTCGCTGCGTCTTCTTCCCGGAAGCTCGATAAGGCCGGTTACTCCTTGCAAGAGTCCGTGCCGGACCGAGTGGGTGTGGCAGCTTCCCCGATTGACGTCCCTGCTGCGTTGAAGGCGCTCCTTGCTGAGGCTCCCGCGCCCTCCTTGATCGTCGGTAGAGGTAGCTCCTGTGCCGCGGTCCAGGGGTGGATCAGAGATCACCTAGAGGGTATGGACGTGGACCTTGTCGAAGTAGCGGTGTCGGAGCACTCGCTTACTCAGGTCAGTAAGGCAGGAGGCCTGCGTAGCCCTCCTGCGGCGGTTCAAGGAGCCAGCTCCTACGGGATCCGCTGGGACTTCTCCTCAGAGGAGGACCGGCAAGCCCTGAGCCTTCTGGTCGATACGCTCGACCCCAAGTGCCTCGTTGTGGGCCTATCCGGTAAGGGTAGCCCCAAGGAGTTCCTCTCCCTGGTCAGTAGGTGGGGAGCAATGGTGGCCGAGAAGGGGCGCCAGATGCTTGTTACTATCTCAGATCAGGAAGGACTTTGGGAGCCTTGGGAGGCCCAGGGGTGGGCTCCCGTGTTTGGGACGCTTTCGGAACCGAAGTTCCCTTGGGCTTTCGGCCGAGCTGATCGATGTCAGCTCTTGGGATCAGTTCCTAGGGGTTCTAAGCATTCGGAAGGAGCGCTGATCTGTCTTTACAACTTCAAGATGGATTCGGTTTGCGTTCGCTGTGCAAAGCCTGACGCTTTGGGCAGGGTAGCCCATCAGCACGCGAAGGCCCGGACCTCTTCGAGGGTGCTCGCTCCGGCCTTGTGCCGTTGCCTGGCGGATGCTGGTCTGAGGGGCGACCAGCCCCCTTGCTACGACAGCATTTGCTCAGTGAGCGGCCAGCCGCCGGCTGAGCCTGCGAAGCCTTCCGCTCCGGAGGTACCGTTGCCGGACGTTAAGTCTGGCGAGGACCTCTCCCCTCAAGAGAGAGCGAAGATGGAGGCTGAAGTTCTGGAGTTCTCCAGGAAGATGGATGCTCACTGGCGGTCGAAGGCAGACGCCAAGGATTGGGATGGTGTCTTCGCGGACCTGGAGGTCTATGCGTTGGCAGGCCAGGCTGTGGCTGCCGATCCCCGCCGTACGCCAGAGTATAAGGCGCAGGTCATTGAAGGCCTCAGGTTGGGCCCTACGGAGAACCGTCCGGGGCTCACCGAGGCTGATCTCGCAGCCATTAAGGAGACGGTGGGCCGGAAGGCCGCTGCATTCTGGGTCGAAGGTACGGCGCGTACCACGGTCCGGAAGTTTGCGCACGACTGCGTCCCTACGGGGCCTCCGGTCAGCTCTCAGCCCCATGCGCTCCGCGGGGAAGCGGCGCAGTGGGTTGATGACCGGCTTGAGGAGGAGGTCCAGAGAGGGCAGCTTGTGCGAGGCCCTTCGGCCTGGGGTTCGGCCCCTTTCCCTACGAAGGAGATGCCTTCCCACAAGCGGGCGAGGAAACGCCGCTTGGTGGTAGATTACCGCAGGGTAAACGCCAGGGTGAAGAGATCCACTTACTACTGCCGGCGGAGCACGGATGTGCTCGCTGCAGCGGTAGGATCAGTCTGGTATAGCTTCGTTGATGCGGTTTCCGGGTTCAATCAGATCCGCAACACGAAGCGTGCCAGGGAGGTTCTTGCCATTGTTGCGCGTAGCGGTAAGTACCTCCCTATTGGGCTTACCTTCGGGCCTGTCAATGGTCCCGACGATTTTAACTACGTCGTGGACCGCGCGTATGCGCCGGGTCGCAATCGAAGGCTTAGGTTCACTAAGGAATGGGTGGCCTATGTCGACGACCTGACGGTTCGTACAGGTAGGGTCGTTGACGGCCGTTTCCTCACGGATGCGGAGGCAGAGGAGGAGATAAGGACGGCGTGCCGGAAGGGCAGCCGCTCCGCGCCTCAGACCGCCGCTTCCGCCCTTGAAGCCTTAGGCGCTCGAGGCCGCGACGGCTCGAGCTCCAGTCCGCCTGACGCGGACCGGAAGGTCGCGCCTAAAGCAAAAGCAAAACACGATGAATCCCTAACGGACACTAACCACCCCACAAGAGCCCTATACCCTAACTCGCTTGTGTTCGTCTTGACCGCTTGTGTCTTGACCGCGGGGTCTAGGTTAGGGTTCGGGGTCTTAGTGTGCCGCGTCGGGGGGGTTCGGGGGGGAACGTGGGGGGCAGCTCGGACGCAGGCCTGTACGCCCGTGGGTCGCTACCTCCTTTCTATGCTACTACTCGTTGCGTGCGTGCTGCAGCAAGGGTGTAGTGAGGTAGTCCAGGGTGTAGGTCGTGCTGAGTGTGAGCCCTACCCCCTCTCTCTGTGCAGCCCCCTTGAACCCCCTGCCTTTCAGGACATGGCCGCGCAGCGTGGGCTCAAGACGAGTAGCCCAGTAGCTTGCGACGGGCCGCGCGGGCCCTTGCCATCGGCTTCTTGCGCCTCGCGGTGTGCTTTGGCACACGTGGGCCGGGAGGTCGCGTGTACCCCTCTTTCCTTCGCTGCCGGTGGGTCCTCCGTGGACCGGCTGGTCGCGGAGCCACTCCCACTTTTTCCTCCGTGTGCCGGGCCCCTCGTGGGCCAGGGAGCCGCGAGGGGCGCCATGGGAGGTGGCCGCAGACGCGGGAACGAAGGGAAAGGCGGTCGTGATAGCAACTCACGATGGCAGCCGTGGGTGTGGCTAGAGAACCCCGCGGTTTGCCAGAGGGCGCTTACGCAAGCCCTCCGCCACGGCAAATTCGGCCTGCAGGGCCATCTCGGCGAAGGGGGCTGGATTAGCGTATCCGCCTTAGCCGAGAAGCTCCAGATCACTTCGTCCGCGATCGAGGCAGGTGCGGCGAGTGATCTGGAAAACGCGGCTGGCGGTCGGGAGAAGCAGCGGCTGGAGCTGGTCGATGGCCGGATCCGGGCTCTCCAGGGACACGGCCGTGGGTCAGGATTGACCGCGGGCACCGTGTATGGAGACGGCCTCGATGAGGCCGGCATGAGGGAGCTCTCGGTAGAGTACGGAGGCTCCACCCTCTGTCATGGCACAGAGGTGTTTCATGCGCGGCGGATCGGCCGCGACGGCCTCCTCCCGGGAGGCGGAAACGGCCCGCGCCTGACTGTCCATTGGGTGATCGGGCCCGGGTACCCAAGACAGCGGGACAGTACGTCGGGCTTTAGAAAGAACTCGACCTGTCTTGTGGTCTCGAACCTCGAGCTCCTAAGGGCTTCCGGGGTGCCCGTCTGGAGAGGGACAGACGGATGTGTTCTGACAGGGCGTGTCCCTCCAGAATGCATCCTCCGAATCCTCACGGTGCAACCCGGCTGTGAAGTCTTCGACCTCTCGCTTGCAGAGCGTCAGGGTAACACCCTGCGGTGGGTCGATGATGCGGAGCCCGGGAGCGGAGTCCGCAGAGAGCAGTCGGCGCCGCCTGGCGGAGCCGGCCCGGTCAACTACTATATCGGGGACGAGGACTCGTCTTCCGAGCTGGAAGTTGAGGTGCGGGCCAAGAGCTCGGCAATGCCGGCGGGACCCCCGCCTGGACCACCTAAGGAGGGTGGTCCCCGTGGGATGCCCTCTGCGCTGCATCGGTCCAGGACGGTCGATGATAGGCCGCCGCCAGGGCGGGAAGGCAAACTAAAGCCTACCCCCAAGGTGGCCCCAGAGGGAGCGCCTTCGGCAGGGGAACAGGAGCGGGGAAGATCACACCGCCCCCCTCAAAAGGTGCCTCCCGAAGCACCGCCTGCGGACACGATCCGCTACAAGACGCCGCCCAGGGCCCGGGATGAGCTGCCTGAGGATCCTCAGGCCGCGCCCGGTGACCCTGAGGGTGCCGGTGCAGCGCCTGGGGATCAGCCGATGGAGGCGGACCGTACGCTTACTCCAGCGGATTTGTTCCACCCGAAGAACTTCAGCAAGAAGGCGAACCCGAAGCCGCCGCCGAAGAGGCCAGCCGTTCCGGAAGGAATGGTCACGGTGAAGCCTG